GAAGTTGGAGAAATCACAAATAAAATCCTTATTAAATTTGGGGGGGCGATAAACTACCACACACAAAATAGGGCAGCTCACCTTTATCACAAACAGCTGCATTTCAAAGCTGGAATAAGCATCCATAGTGATTTGCCGACAATCAAAGCAATTTCTAAAAATTGTTGCCACACCACCACCTCTCCCGGTAGTCCTTGGAGAGTTAAAAAACATACAGTCCGGGGGAAGAAGTTCAGAGAAGGTTTCCACTTCACCGGGCCTCAGCCAAGTCTCAGTTAGTAACATAAAATCCAGGCCATGAGCGGAAAAGAAGTCCTTTAGGATAAAAGTCTTGTTCACTAGCGATCTAGCGTTGATAAGAGCCATCTTCACAGTTGACTGCCTGGTAGGTAGATGCGACGCCTGGTCCAACGGGCTTAGATTGGCCCAAACTACACCCCTCATCCGACGTCGTTGGATCCTTTGCCGGCAAAATGCTGATGAGTGGACTGGTACAATGGGCCGGAGCCATCTGTAGTAGACCCTACGAACACTCAAAATCGAGGGATGGTCACGAATTAAACAGGAATTCTCACTAGGAAAAACTCGTGTTTTAGATGTATATAGTCCAATTGTTACTACTCAGTTATTTTAATGAACCTTTTGTAGATATAGACAACACATCTGTGGATGTCTGCATCCAGAATGTTTATACTGGATGTCTAAGATGTTGTGGATAATTGAAAAGCTCAATACACATGAATGGCAAAGTGATGTGATTTGTCCTTGGAAGACTGACACAACGAAGAGTGTGGTTTCACACAGAAGAATTTTGCTTTCTCTGATTATTTTCTTGAGCAAAACCTGGCTTGTTAACTTTGAGGGATCATAACTAGCCACCATATTGATTAACGATTTTAACTACCCATTACGTATAGTCATAATAAATGTACATTGGTTAGCTTTCATCTCAACCACCAGATGTTAACGTTACCGGCTTCTCTCGGGTCCACTTTCTGCTGAGATGCTGAAGCATTGACAATATGCTGTTGTGGTAGGATAGATCGGTTTTACAACAGACATGCTGTACAGAGTTTTCATTGTTTTCAGCTTGAAGTGATCCAACACTTCGACACTTTATGTTGTTTTCCCTGACTAGTCTCTGCCTCCTCTGCTATTTTCTTTGTTTTTCTCCACTTTGCAGTCTGCAACTAGTGAATTGTGCGCAGTAATAATGATCCACGCGAAACACACTGAACTGTATATAAATGATGATAGGATTAAACAAACATATTATGGATGCAACATCTTTGCATCGATAATTTTTAGTAATGGAATTGTTCAAGGAATCATTTCGGCCCTACAGTTTACCCGTCTGTGTCTTACTGGAGGAATAATCGGTCTGTGTTTGTCCCTTCAGGACCCTGTAGCTCAGCTCCCAACTGACATGGTTGCCCGCGGTTACAGCATCTTCTCCATCATCCTGAAGTATGCTGTGGAGCTGCTCACCTGGGAACAGGAGGATCAGCTCCCTGAAGGACTGGAGCCACCGTATGCATATGCACATCATGCTTAATTTAATCTATTTAGTCAGGTCTCCTGGAGATCAAATCTCAGTTCAAGGCAGACCTGAGAACAAGAATGATTCATAATCAGATAACTGATAATTGGCAATAATGAATTCAAATTTTAATAAGAGCCATAAGCCCCTTTCAGACATGCTATCCTTTCTGTTAATCTAACAGTATATGAATGTGTCTGCTTCATGTCTGGGTCACCTTTCCATAAAAGTCACGGCAGCAGTCTTATAAGGTTGGACCTAGTAACACGGTACAAGTCCGAACAGCACACGGTCACGTTAATGATTATGACACACCGATGTAGCACGTTGTTATGTATAGATTTGATTTGATATTCTGACCCCCTCCCCCCTCGTAAATTAGCCTTTTGGCTAACTGACACATTTACATCTTTGATGGTAATTAATGTGTAATTTTCCCTGTCGAATAAGCTAATAATGCAAATGTGACCTGTGTGTGTCTGACAGAAAGGTGTTGTTTTAACAGCCTGATGAAGCAGTAATGTTACATATCCCAGGTCAGAAAAGAGCTGTAAAACCTCAAATGACAAAACTTAAACATGTTCCAGTAAAACATTTTATTGTTGTACTGCATGTGCTGATACTTTCTCTGTTTCTATGTGCAGGGAGAGAGGAGACACCTATTACTGCATGTTGTTTAATGATGAAGTCCACACGTATGAGCAGGTGATCTACACTCTACAGAAAGCTGTCAACTGCAGCCAGAAAGAAGCCATCAGCTTCGCCACCACCGTCGACAGAGATGTCAGTATTTGTTATTACAACAGTCTGTTGTTACTTGTTATTTATGAATGTTAACATTCTCCCTTAGAACAAACTCTGTCTGTGATGATGAGGAGGCCCATGGTATCATCTGAAAGCTTCAGGTTGTACACATGTTGTAATGTTTACTTGCTGTGTGTTGGTGCAGGGCAGAAAGTCAGTTCGATACGGAGATTTCCAGTTCTGTGAACAGGCCAAATCTGTGATAGTGGTGAGTGTCTGCCACCATGCTGACTAGTCTACTGACCAGACTGTTGACCAGGGGCCTGACCAGACTGCTGACCTGGTGAATGACCAGACTACTGACCCAACTGTTGACCAGAGGACTGACCTGGTGAGTGACCAGACTGCTGACCTGACCAGACTACTGACCCAACTGTTACCAGGGCACAGACCAGACTGTTGACCTGATGAGTGACCAGACTACTGACCCAAATGTTGACCACAGGACTGACCCGACTGTTCACCAGGGGACTGACCAGACTGCTGAGACTGTGTTATGAAACCTCACTACATGAGTGAAATGATAAAATAAAAAATGTGAAAACCCAAACATGTATTATTTGTGCAGCTGTTGAATTT